ACTATTTTACAGCGCCATGCATACAGTTCTTTTCAGCGCTTATCGTCGTATCTCTGGCTATGCAAGTGCAGAAAGGTACGACACGAAACTGCCAGCCATTACATAATGGAAGGGTGAGGGAGCAGGAAATGCACACGTGCGATTACGTGCGTAACCTGGATACCTCATTAGTGTGCGCCAGGAAATAGCGGCAGATGACAATGAAGTGCGCACATTCGAGTGCCGCCAGTACTCGGTTAGGCCTTACACGAGGGCTTCCTGTAGGCTAGTAGATGTAAAGCCGTACAAGGAAACCATTTGCAGCTCGCGTTTTGAGCGGGAAATCATATTGGTAAGGTTGTAATTGAAAATAAATTTTCAGTATTTTCCAATTTCTAATCAACTTGCAAAGCAAAGCCTGAAAAGAGGTCATCAATAAAGAGAAAGCAAACCACAAGAGATCCAAGAAAGAAGAGGAGGTAAGGTGAGTCTTATCTAGGTTTTCTCTCACGCTAAGGTCCAGAAAAATTCAAACCTTTTTTTACCAGTCGTCTGATACTAGCTTCAGTTTGTAATAAAAATCAAGTCTAGGAAAAAATTTTGACATTCATCGCTTTAAAACCTTCGCGCCGGTTCATCGCTCGAATGACATTTCAAAGTTATTTTCCCTGCCTATTTTATTATCAGCAAAAATTGTTTACAGGCAACAAATACTTTACTGATGTCTCAATAGAGAGCCCTTTTAGGAATATTTCCTCTAACCCTTAAACCCCTAAGAGCGACTGGCATCTATTTTCTCATCACAATATCACCCCTAAATCCAACAGGGTTAAGGGGCTTAACATGAAGGGAGTAACAATGTTTAGGGGATACTAAGTCATTTTGAACTTTCCAACTATTTTTACAAATGGTCTGAGATGATACTCATTGCATTGTTATTTTGTACAGCTGCATGTTACCATTAGTACTATAGGATAGTGGTAGGACTTTCATTTACAAAATGCCATTTCCTCGTCTCCCTCGTGATCAATGACCTCAATATATTTTCTTTGCCTTCTGGCAAGTTGGTGTTGCTTCCGAAAAAGTTTTAGTTTAGTGTTCTGGTGCTTTAAACGGTCTTCGTGAAAATGAAGGCAAAATAAATGAACTAGAAGCTACAATGTTTGAGCGTGCCTCGGCTCAAAAAAATGCTACAGAAGAGGGTTAAGACAGCACTCTGCAATATTGGCGTTGTAGTTACAGCAATGGAAACCATGACAGCTGTTGACAATGACTATGAAAAGATTGAGGCAGCTATCTTGTGGTAGCTAGGTGTCGACGGTATATTTATGAGACTTAACTCAGTTTTAGACATAAAGCTCACAGAGTCACTTCTAATCACATTAGCTTACGACTCTACATGTATGGCATGAGAAGAGATGAAAACCATTGAACAGAGGTTTTAATTTGATTCACAGCATAATTGATACTTTATGTTATACCTTATAGTGACTGGCCTGGATTTACAAGGGATCCATACCCGTTATGAAGGTGTACTGTTTTGTCAATTTTTTAGCAATTTTTTTAAGGGGTTATGAGAAATGTATAACAGCAAATTAAGGGATAAATTTTTGCTGTAGGAATACCTGTTGAGACTATCCGTCTTTTAAATCCAATGTCCATTCATTCCACATCTTTTTAACAACTCTGAAGAGGCGAGGCCGCATTTCTTTCATACAGGTTCCTCGAGGTTCCTCGAGGTTCCTCGAGTGATTTAACAGTAACAAAGAAATCATTGCTTATCATTTTTAGTTTGTAAATAACTGTTGGACTAAAACGTTTTTCTAGTACAGCATAACATTGTTCCGACTGGAAAAGGATGGCCAATTTTTTAAATGCAAAATTGACTTCGAACTGCCAATAAAACAGCTCGAAAATATTTCCCTATCATCTCAAATTACTTTTTAAACTTTCCTTTTAAACAATAACCATGGTATTGGGGCGAAACACCCCGAGTAAATCCCGAACAGAAAAGCTTGTTTTCCTAGATGCAATTGGCGATGATGTTCGACGAGATTGCGCATAAAACGGTGTTAAGCCAATTCAGCTATACTTAAACCTTTGAAAAATCGCGGAAGATCCTCATTTACTTAGTCGAACCTCGATTATCCGGACTCGTCGGGACCTCGGTAAATAGTCCGGATAATCGAGAGTCCGGATAACCGGAAATATGAATATTAATGAGATAGAAATGTAAACAAAAGGTGTACAGCAAAGAAAACAATTTTAATTGTGAAATCTACACAGCCTGTATGTTGAAATTAAGAGATCCTCGCAGCTAAGAAACACTACTGAAACGAGTAGTTGTTAATAGGACCTGAAAAAAAAATTTTCAGGCCCGTACGGGATTTGAACCCATGACCTCTGCGATACCGGTGCAGCGCTCTACCAATTGAGCTAACAAGCCAACTGGGAGCTGGTCAATGAATTGGGTCCAGATAAACATCCAAGTGAATGAAGATTTTAGATATATGAAAATTCACATATTTGCACTGCGGTGGAAAGATGAAATTAAGAGATCCTCGCAGCTAAGAAACACTACTGAAACGAGTAGTTGTTAATAGGACCTGAAAAAAGTTTTTTCAGGCCCGTACGGGATTTGAACCCATGACCTCTGCGATACCGGTGCAGCGCTCTACCAATTGAGCTAACAAGCCAACTGGGAGCTGGTCAATGAATTGGGTCCAAATAAACATCCAAGTGAATGAAGATTTTAGATATATGAAAATTCACATATTTGCACTCATTCACTTGGATGTTTATTTGGACCCAATTCATTGACCAGCTCCCAGTTGGCTTGTTAGCTCAATTGGTAGAGTTTCAGTAGTGTTTCTTAGCTGCGAGGATCTCTTAATTTCATCTTTTTAAGTGGACAGACCGCTGTAACCAGTTTGATCATTTTAACCTGTTAAATGATTTTAAGCGGTTGGACCAATTTCTCTAGTTAGACCACTTCTAACACCTAGACCACTTTATCCAGTTAAGACATTTTTAATTGGTTGAACCATTTTATCTACCTATGAACCAATTTATCTACTTGGACAATTCTAGCTGGAACATTTTTAGCGGTTAAACCATTTTATCTAGTTCCATATAAATCAGTTTAACCAATTAGAACATTTTAACCAGCTTTGAAATCCGTTACGGTGGCCACCGCCGCAGCACCACAGTTTCTTTGGAAACTTACCCCTTTATTAAAAAGATATATCATTACACACACCTGTTTTCCAGAAACGTTACCAGTTTGAAAATATATATTAAAAACGTATTTCCTTTCCTCGTCAAAGTGACTGGTTTTGATGAGAAGACAAAAGGTATATATGTTTAGTATATATTTTCAAATTTGCGACGTTCTTTAAAACAGGTATATGTATGATAGATATATACCCGTTTTCATAAAAGTTGCAATTTGAAAATATATATTGAATAAATATACCTTTTAATTTCTTGTAAAAATGTCTTAAGAAGTAAGAGTGGCCTCTCCCTAGGAGCCTCTGTAGAGTGAGAAACAAACCAAAGTTGACTGACCAGACTAACGGATACAGTCTCTGCCATAAAGCTTTAAAGACAGGCATTCGGCAGCCCACCCTAAAGTAGACTTGTCCATAAGCTCCACTAAGATGCTAGCCCTGCATTTCAGGCAGCTAGGCAGGAGATAGGGTTTACGGTTAGATCGCTCCATGGTTAGATCGCTCCAAGTCAGATCGCTCCATACCGAAGTCAGATCGCTCCACTCGAAAGTTAGTTCGCTCCATCAAATAAGTTACTTCGCTCCATACATAAGTTACTTCGCTCCATGAAGAAAACTAACGTGGAAGGTTGATAAAAGACAGAAGGATAAGGGAAATTTCATCATTTATTACACACTGAAACACTTATTTCATCATTGGTAATTCGCTTTGGTGGGTTCAAGTGAACGAATCGTCGATCACTTTATATTTCAGCAACTTGATCGCAAGAAACATCATCAACTATAAACTACAAAGATCAGAAGTAAGTTAGGTTATTAGTTTTCTACGTTCATTACACACTGAAACACTTGTTCCAACATCGGTAGTTCGACCGATCGCAAGACGCAATACACATCATTAGAAGTAGATCAGAAGTAAGTTAGTGTATTAGGTTTCTACATGGAGCGAAGTAACTTATGTATGGAGCGAAATAACTTATTTGATGGAGCGAACTAACTTTCGAGTGGAGCGATCTGACTTCGGTATGGAGCGATCTGACTTGGAGCGATCTAACCATGGAGCGATCTAACCGGATACCAGGAGATAGTGGCTTTCAACTAAAAAACTAACAAGGTGTTTGCAATGTCAATTGAGCCCCCTCCTCACACCAATGCTTTTGACCCTCAACCACCCTCCTGACTACCAATCCGGCAAAACAGGGCGCCACCGGGATGAGTAAAAAACTCCTTCCAGCCTAAGGGCCAATTCTAGCGGTCCAAAAACTACCCTCCCCACCCTTGAGCTTTAGGAAGAGAGCTGTTTGCTACCAACGCACGAATAGGTCATTGACTGGGCTAGATGCGCAGTTCTAACCTTGACGTTAAGCTCCCTACATTTTCATTGGACAGGGTAACTTGAGGGTGAGCCTTGCAAAGAATCTAGCAAGCAAGTGTTTCCATGTCAATAGTACCCCCTCCCAAATACAATGTTTTTAACACTCTCCTTAAAATGTAACTTAATGGTCAGTGGAGTGCTGAAGCCAACAACTTGGTGGCCTTAGGGAATCCAGATGAATTATATAACAGTCTATTGGTAGATTTGTAAAGTACCTTTGGACAAGTATAGTAATCTTTTAGAGCAAATTTCAAGCATGATATAAATTACCACGTAGAACTGCTCATCCCTATATGGTACAATATTAGTTCTTGGTTTGTTTGCCAAAACTCTCTAGAAATTTCAATTATTTTAATTCTTTTATCCAGGTATAATCTTTCGCTTTTTTCTGCAATAAACAGAACCTGAAAAGTAGTTAAAAATTTATTGAAAAATTTGTTGGTAAGTGACATCAATTTACAAGTTGTTCCTATTCACACAACATTATTAAGACTTCACAAGTATTAACTTGGCATTCTTCATTAACATCACTCAACTGATTCCCAAGAAGCACTTCTTCACTCTAAATTCGTTTCTGGAAAGAACAAACGGATAAACAGCAAATAGGTGAGTAAGGCCAGAAAACAGCAGGACAAATTGAATTAAATAATAACTACTCTCAAAGCCTACAACAACAAAACACAAACTGCAAGTAGTATTGTTGCACCATCACAGTTTTATTAAGCACCCCGTTTGATCTCTTAAAATAATGAAAAACAAACAAATAAACAAAAACAACAACACTAAAATCTATCTTGCAATAACTTTGTTGACAGTCAGTTGAGTACCTTTCCTGGTTTTCCTTTCTTTTTTTTCACTTTTTTCTTGAGACCTGAGCCAAGCTTGTTAATTGCAGCAAAAGTTGAAGAATTTATTCTGTGTGATACATTTATTTTCATAGCATTCAATCCACCTAAAGTTTAACCAGAAATACAGATTCAGCTGAATAGCAAACAAACATTGTACAAATTGCTTTTAACAGATTTGAATAAGGGAGATTAATAATACACTGTCTTGGTTGATGTACCCAGCAGTCATGCATGGGAACAACTATTGACCTCCTTTAAACCTCCTTTAAGTAAGATGAGCATTTCTGTTGATTTAATGTATATTGTTGATTGCTGAAGGAAATCATGAAAAAATATTAAAATAGCTTGAATTTTTTTTCACACATTAAAGTTATTTGCTTCATGCACTCACAGATCCAATTAATGAAGTTCAGCCTGGTTGGATGGGGCTCTCACTTGGATTAGCGATTGGAAACCTTATATCTCGCACTTTTCAAAATTTTTCCCCAAAGTTACTTAAACCTTTGATTTAAAGAGATTTATCATCAGAGCTAGAAAAGAATTCCCTTGCCAATAATCTCTGCCTTACTTGGAAGATTCATTTCAGGTTTGTAAAGTTGTATTTGATTAGCATGTGAACAGGCCCTCATTATTAGCACTTTAACACCAGCATATTTTCCCCATAGAAAAGTATGAAGCTTTGAACCACGTGAGCCTGTGAAAGGTCTGCAAAAGGACCAGCCCTGATAATTATTACTTTGAGAACCCTGGAAAAATTATCTCCCTGACTTGTCTCAAATCTTCCTACAGACAGAAAAATGCGCATCTTGCAGTAGAGAGTTTAAAGCATCATTCAAGTTGGCTATAATGACATTTGACATAGGTTCATAGCCTGCTTTGCACCCTTAATGTAGTTTGTCACGCACATTGTCCTGCCTTTCTGGACTTCATTGGGTACCAATTTCTCTTGCTTATCTTGCTATGCTGCACAGCCAGAGGACACTAATATTTCTTTTACAATTATATTGTAATGAGACTTCCAATTCTACGTTTGGCTTTGCAAGGGGGGGGGGGGGGGGGTGAAAACATTGTATGTGACCTAAAGAAAGTAAGAGCAGCAAACTGACTTGCATAATTCGTTTTTGGCACACATATCCAATTGAAAATTGGTGCCTGAAGTTCAACCATGCCATTTAATGTTGGTAAAGACAATAATTAGAACTGGAATGATGCCAGAGGTGGAAAAAGTGTAGGAGCAAAGAGCCCCAGAATGGCAAAATACACAGCCCACTTTACAGAAAGGTTTGATGCCATATTCTTAAAGAGCAATGTCTACTCTTTAATACAAGGTACTATGTGCAATTCATTTGTGGAGAAAAAGACAGATTTTATATAAGGTAAGTTCATGTGACAAGTCACATGATATTAAGAAAGCCTTTTTTGTTTTTTTTAAAAGGTCTAGGTAAACACTCACGGTTTGATAATTTTATTGACTTTTGGTGGAGGGAGGTGGTTTTAAACGCTGGTTATGAATGGAGCCTTGCTTTCATAGCAAGCATCAGGTTCAGGTAACAGACTCCTGATATCTCCTTCCTTATACCACAAATGAATTGTAGAAAGTACCTCATATTAAAGAATATACATTTCTCTGTAAGAATATGGTATCAAACCTTTTTCTCTGAGGACGGTTGTGCATTTTTTCCATTTTTGGGTACTCCTACACTAAAAAGAGTGCTGTAATAGGGGGAATAATATTTCAAAGGTAATGAGGAGCCCATCTGAAAGTAAGGGATATTTTTGTCACTACAGTTACTGAAATGTCACCTCCCCCTATTTTCACTAACCTTCCTTTCTATCCATGAGAGCCTCGAGGATCTCTCTTCCACCCAGGTCACCAATAGCATTATCATCTATATCGAGTTCTTGTAAGCTTTCAGAGTGTGTTATCAGTCTGCAAATCAATATGAGACAAAAAAAGAACTAGACTGTTCAATATAGACTGTTCAATATACATAGCTGTGCTTTTCATTTACTTTCCCCTTTATCCCCCTTTTATCTTTATGAGGAACTTACACATTTTTCAATAGAATGTGCAATATACTGTAGCAAACTTATGTTCCAATATCAGATCATACACATCAGATAATACTATTCCCTTTCCCACAATAAACTGAAATTTTACCAAAACAAAATCACAACATGCAAGCTGTGTGTGTGGTGCAGGTAAAAGTTTGGTCTTGATTATGTTTCACAATTTCAAAATATCACATATTTTAGTCTCAATTTTTATTTATATTCTTTTCTATAATTCATCAAATATTTTTTCTTGCATGCAATTGGTCTAAATGTATCACATGACTGAATATGTGATGTGCCCCAAGTGATATACCCCAATTTCAAAACATGAAGGCTTAAAGTTTGCATTCTCATTAGTAGAATATCATAGGAATCTCTAGGTCACACATCTCCAATAATGCTTGAGACTATGTCCTTGCTCAAAGGAGTGGCAGAAATAAGGACAAATATAGCCTATAATTTAAGCAGATACTAGAAGATATGGGGGTTTCAGGCAAACCCATGGCATTCACAGATACTGTGATGAGATTGTTCCAATTTACTCTGTATGCTCTACTTGCCACCACTATATTGGATTGATTATGGTTTTGTTAACTGGGGTTTATCAGTTTAGATGGTTTTGCATGGGGTTTTCAGTTTTCAGCAATTTTTTTTGGACAGTTTTGTGGTTTTGAATGACTTTCCCTATGGTTTGTGGTTCCTAATAGTCCCTAATGTCCCACTCTTAAATCAGTATCATTATTATCATGCATATATGTCTCATATCTGTCAGAACTAACTAATTAAAGAGATCTTCATAAATGCATATTTATATTACGGTAACCATTTAATTAACTGAACAAGTTGCACCTACTTTCTGAACATTTTCATACACATGACAGGCCCAAGAGTGGAACCCAGCCCATATGCATCAATGCCATTGTTCAGCAAGTGAAGTTTCTGAATCCAAGGGCCCACTGGTGGTGGGGGAGGAGGCTCTTTTTTCTTCCTTGCACTTTTCTTCTTTTTCCCTTTCTTTCCAATCCTGCCTGTAGAAGACATTTGAGACCTCGCACTAAAGGATAAAAGGTAAACTAAATTTGACATGTGACCACTTTGACCAATAACATGTCCATTTCAGTAAACTAATATCCTTGTAAGTTTTCAGATACACCTTCTTAAACATTTAGTTTGACAAATCCTCAAACATTTGATGAAGATGGGATATCTCTTGAGCTCTAGGTTGTAGATAAATCATTAATTTGAAAGAATGATGCAGTTAATCAAAATTCTTGCCAACAACTTGGGCTATTCCAAATAAAATGAGTTCAAAAGGTTTCATGATGTGAGGATGTCATGCACAATCCAAAGAAGAGACATTACACATTTGAGGAAAAAGTGTAATGAATAAGGAAAGATACATAATTTGTTTGGAAAGTACACATCTTCACAGTTCCAAGCTGGGCCCAATTTTGTTTATCTCTATAATATATGATTTTGTTGCTTTGTTGCAGACACATTATCTTTAAGTGCCTAACTCATGGCCTAAAGGGTTAAAGAATACTGCAAACTTATGGTTTCATTCACTAGTACAAAAAGGCCTGATGGAGTTACAAAGGGTAAACACTTTATTTAGCTTAAATCTAGATGACTTCTTAGATAAATATATGCAGCCAACCTTCCAGGTTTGCTTCTAACGGCAACTGAAGATGTTGGTCTTGACACTGACGACATAGCTGATGCCACACTTGGTACAGTTAATGTATTTGATTCAGGAATTTTCCCTTCCTTTTTTTCAGCACGCTCAATAGCTTCCATTTCTGCTGTGTCAGCAAAGAGCTTTATAAGTTCGATCACCCCTTCACACTCCAGAAAATTGCCATCAAGATAGACATCTCTGAGTGAAAATATAAATTTTTTTAAAATGATATTCCATAAAATAAGCTACACTTGAGGTCTACTAGCCTTATTTTGGCTGTTAAAATTAACTGAATATAAAGTATCAAGTTACTTTCAAAAACACTTGATCAACTAATAAAAACAACTCAAACCAGCAGAGTTTTGATCATTTTTGAGGAACAACATGAAAGTTCAAAAAGTGACCTCAAAGGTAAAAAAATGCACATTTTATTCCCTGTTAAAGGTCATACATCCAGTTTGAAAGTAATACTTTGTTTCTGCCACACCATGTGGTTAGTGCGTGTACTAATTGAAGATTAAATTTAACCATTTACAATTTTTTTTCTGCAAAATAAGCTTGTACTAGGCAGTCTGTTAAGAATTGATTGAGCAGTGTGTGTGTCCCCTAAATGTTTTCACCATAAGCAAGGAATCTCCTTTAACCATTCAAGCCAAGATGCACATTTATCTTATGAAGGCTGTTTATGTACTTTGTTTATAAAGTGGATTCCAAGAGCCTCTATAAAGTTTTCTATCAACCTTTTACCCTGAATACATCAATATAAGATTGTTTCAGTACACAAAGTTACCTTATGGCTGTGTTGGAAATTGTTTTTCCAAGGAGCTCCCCACTTTGAGAACCAAGATTACAATAACATAGGCTGAGACGCAATAGTGTTTTATTACCATAGAGACCTCTACAAAGACCACTGCAGCCAGAGTCACCAAATCTGGAAGAGAGTAATGATCTGGAGTCTTGAAAATGAACTCAAAATAGTAAACTTGAAACATAACATAACAAAATGTTTGAAAATACGTTAATTTCTTATGCAGCTATGCTGGTCATTATTTTTCCATTTCCTGACATACAAAAATCAGTATGTACATGATTTGTTTCAGAATTCTTTGGCACTGATGTAATGCAATGTTTGTAAAAGAGGCTAGAGCCTGAAGAAAGGAGGCCTCAGAGTTGTTTGATTTTCAGCACAGGGTGCAATATTAATTTTATTAGGGTTTTGGAAATGGGCCACTAAAAAGCAAGCACTTGAATGCAGCAAAGTGCTAAACAGGGCTAGGGATAACCTTGTGAATATGGAAATAACAAACACCTGCAAATCATTTCACTGCACAACTAATAACTATAAATTATGTAGATTTAGATATATGAAAATTCACATATTTGCACTGCAGTGGAAAGATGAAATTAGAAGATCCTCGCAGCTAAGAACACTACTGAAACTAGTAGTTGTAAGTAAGACCTGATGGCTATCTTGTTTCATTCACATTTTGCACTATCTTACTTAGTAGTTGTAAGTAAGACCCATGCTATCTTGTTTCAGTTACTGATCACCCCAGGGAAGAAAAAAAAAATTGGGGGCTTTTAGTCCATGGATTGCAGATCTTTTCTACTGCACGTTTCTATTCCTTTAATGATGTTCCAACAAGACATAGGTTATGAAGATTCAGTGGAAACAACATCACGCTCACAATTGGAGGCAGACAACCTCAAAGAGCCAGCTAATTAAACAAAGTTTTTTAACATCTTCAGTTTAACAGAACCTTCTATATCAACATTTATTTTTTAAGACCAGTGTAAAGAGGGCTGAAAGCCACTTGTAATGTTAATTTTATTCAATGAAATCAACCCACCCATAAAGAATCTCTGAGACCCACTGCTTGTAAAAAAGTGTGGTTTGAGTTAGACTTTGGATAAATAACCAGCCTAAAGGTCAAAACTCCCTGATGCTGTTTGAAATTAAGCTGGGATTTATCAAATAAATGACCAGTCAGAAACACAGAACCATTTTTTTGCCTGACTAAGGAATCAGAGGTTCTGGTAATACTTTGCTTCTTAAAAAGCTCAAGGCAGCTGGATGAGTTAAAGCAATTTCTCTGGAAAGAGACCTAGACAGTTTTTCTTGTAAATTTTGAGTCTGATTTGATGGTTGGTGTCCACCACCTAAAAAAAAGAGTCTGGAGATTGGGATGCAAATGACACAGACATTTTTGGAGTGCTCTATTGGAAAATAGGGGCCATAGGCAAACCACCATTCAAGAAGCAGAAAAGTTCTGCACATGCACTTTACAACTCTGTATATTTCCTTGTGGTCCTGTGCAAAGCAAAAAAGTCATGGTAAAGACAACCCTGGGTAAGTTTGAAATCTGATTTCAGATCTGAAAGCTTTAAAATAAAATTCAGTTAGATCTCTTTTGTCAAAAATGTGATAATTTGATGCTCTTAAAAGGAATAACCGGTAGGGGAGGTCTGGCAACATTTTACATCTGGCAACATCTTAAGCTCAATACATTTAATGATACTCTAAAGTCCATTCCAGACATCCATGCTCCCATGAAATCCATTAAGATTAGTGGCAGACCCTGTTGTTTGGTCAACCAGGAAATCAAGGATCTTGTGAAATCTAGAGGTAGCCTCCTCAAATGATTCATCAAACACAGGACACTGTTGACTGGAACAATTAAAAGAATCATGCAACTTGGTTAAGAAAACCCTTCTTGAAGCTGAGAGAAACCACATCTTTGAAGAAGTGAGATTGCATCAGAAAAATCCTGGTACTCTCTGGAAGATAATCAATTTTGATCTCACTATCAAAAACAAGGAAAGGAAATTTATTCTATAGATCCAAAATCCATAGCAAATGAATTCAACCAGTTTTTTTGCAGCTGTCAGTAGAAATACCACAGAGGCCTCTTTGCGCCTATCCAAGAAAAACAACATAGTGATCCCTGAGGAAATTAGTGTCGACTTCCCCATCATTGATAAACCTTTTAATCTCAGGACCATGACATGTGAGGAAGTACGCTAAGTTGCATTGTCACTGCCACTTAACAAAGTGCCTGGTCCTGATATAGTGAGTGTACACATAATCAAGGACTGCCTACCTGTCATCTTAGGCCCTCTGACCAAGAACATAAATTGCTCCATATTTTTACCAGTAAATTTCCAAATAAGTGGAAAGAAGCTGAGGTGATACCTATCCTGGAAGAGGGAGATCATGAAGAAGCTGCCAATAACTGATCACTATCACTGTTAACTGTTGTGTCTTAGGTTTGCGAGAAAATTGTTCTCATTAATTCACTACTTACCTCCTTAACAACAACAGGTTAACAGCCCACCAGAGTGGTAACAAAAAGGCCCACACCACTGAAACTCTGAACATCTACCTCACAGACCTCAGAAGCTATGGATAGAAAGAAACTTACTGCTCTTGCCCTATTAGACCTCTAGAAAGTTTTTGACAGCTTCCAACATCAAAAGCTGCTTCTTTAACTGTCCAAAGTCAAAACATCACCCTCAACTGTTAATTAGTTCATGAGCCGTCTATCATGATGCTCTTAATTTGTCCAAATTGATTCCACTCTTTCAGACCCCTGCTAATAACACACAGAGTCCCACAAGGCGCAGTCCTTTCACCACTGCTTTTCTGCATCTACCTCAATGATCTACCCTCAGCTTCTGGCACTTGCAGCCTGGAGCCATATGTGGATGACTTGCATGTATTCCTGTCATTCCCACTGGCAGAGGTTGATTCAGTGATTGAGAAGCTTGAATAAGACCTGCACAACGTGGCCTAATGGTGCTGTGCAAACAACTTACTAATAAATCTGAGCAAGACCAAGCTCTTCTTTATTGGAACTAAGCAGTTGATGAGTAAGATACCAGAAGTTCTCCAAGTGTCCTTTATCACATTGTTGTACAAAGAACGCTTTAGAACATTATATGACCTTTTGTTTTCTTAAAATGTAGCCTTGTTTCGTTTTGATTGTGTGATAATGAAATATCCTTTTGGCTAGCCACACAAAGAGTTATTTCAGTTTAGTTTCCTTTACGTCATAGAAGTATATTAGGCCTTTTTTCATGTGAACATTTTAGTTTTAAGGAGTTGTCCCTAGAGCAAAGAGGAGTTTTATGAGAGTCTTTCAGAGTTTTTTTTACAACTTGGAGTTCATCCCCGGAGCCAAGATCAGACGTAAGTCACGATCATTAGTTGTGTTTTCTGTTGTCAGATTTTTAGTTTAGCTTGTTTCCTTAGCTTAGACAGATCGTGTATTCCTTTTAGTTTTCACCACAAGTGTTGTAATAAGTAGGCTAGCCTGATTACATGATTTAGTCCAATAAATGTGTGTAAGAGTCTGCTGTCCATCCTGTACTTCACTGTGGTTGACCTAGCGGACCCAATTACACTGCACCCTGTGTCTGCCGTGCTGGGAACATGACATCCTTCCTTGGTTGAATACTACAACCAGCTACTTCAGCAAAGGACTTGGGAGTCATTCCGAACCCCACTTAACTTACAATCACCACATCACACATGTAGTCTTATCCTGCTTTTCTATACTATGTCAGATAAGTCATGTTAAGAAGAGCTTAGACAAAGAAATTTCAAAACTACTAATAGCAACATTAGTTCTTAGTAAAATGTTATATTGTTCCACTGTGTGGTCAAACACATCAGCTGGGAATATCAGTAAGCTACAGTCAATCCAAAACTTTGCCAACAAGATAGTTATGACCTCTAAGAAATTTGACCATGTGGCTCCTTTGCTTTGCCAGTTGAACTGGCTACCCGTGAGGCAATTACTTTTATATAAGGATGCAGTAACGACATATAAATGTCTGCATGACCTTGCTCCACAACACCTGAGTGATTAGTTTATTAAATGCTCTAATATTCATGCTTGTTACACAAACAAAAGGGACTCGCTTCAGATTCCAATTTGTAAAACTGCCACAGGCCAATGTACTTTTACCAATAGAGCAACTAGCTTATGGAACAGTTTGGACAATGACATTAAGAATTGTACCTCCTTGAAATCTTTTAGGATCACCTTGAGGGAGTACCTCCACACAGTATGTTACCATAAACCTTCAGAGCTTGTTTAGTTGTAAATAATTACTATATATTTTTTCATTCTTAATATTATTACTTTATATCTTTAAAAAATTGTAAATAGATTTTGAAAAACCTTTTGAACAACATCTATGAAAGTCAGATTTCCAACTCAGGTAAGCATTATTCTTTGCCTACTTACCTGCCCAGCAAGCAACTCAGGAAATTGTCCATTTAATTGAGTAACGAAGAAAGTGCCAAAATTTTACATGACAAGGGATCTAAGGGGTGCAAAGGTTGCATAACATTAAACAGTCCTACAACAAAACTAGGTATGTTTATTTCAATTGTCTGCATCAATCATCAAAGTGTCAAATTTGGTTCTACATGAGTGATTGCCAACCGAACATGTCATGTTTTCTTTCCCTCTGATTAAATCCCTTAGCCTTTCAGTTGCCTTTTTTTTTTTTTTTAAGAAGTAACCAGTAAATGTTGAGGTATGTTTTCAGAGACTGCAGCATCACAAGCTTAACTGTAAAACTCAGTTATTATAATTTGATTACCTCTACCAAGTTTGAAAGAGATCCTTATTTTTGAATTTCAACAGGTTTGTTGAATGCTTTCAATGCTTCCTTGAGGTTGTTGATTAATTTCACATCCACATGATTCCTGATGTTTTCCATGGTTTTTCCAAAGACCGCAGTGTTCATCAACTTGAGAAACTCTTTTTCAGATTCATTCTTGGTGTTTGTGTACAGCTTTGTGTTAAGCTTAATGTGTTTCTTCAACCAAGGCTCTTTTTTGAAGCTTATTCTTCTATGAATCTTTTTGATCCTTGAACCGAGATTGAGGTACTGTTTCAGTGTTCTGTGACTAAGTATGTATTTCTCCTCATCATTCAGATTTTTAATAAGTTTTTCTACCCTATTAGTAATCAATCTCTCAGGAGCAAGTGGGAAGTTGTTATGCAAGTCATGAAGCTCTTTTGGATACTTGAGATCCACATCAAGAATGCAAGAAATTTCTCTCTAGTTGACAAGGTCAAAGACAGTCAAGCCTTCAGCTAGGTCTCAGAGCTGCATCCACTTTAAATTTCCAATGGGAAGAGGTTGGCACATGGCCCATCCATGAAAAATATTTGGATGGAGATAGGTGATGTATTTCATTGGCTTTGTTTCATCATAAGCTTCACCCATATATTTGTTGTTTGCAAACCCATTTGAGATCGTTGAGATTCCTTCCTTCTTAGTGCCCTCAACATGACTGGCATTATTTGTTAAAGCTGCTTTACTATTGATTAATGCTAAACTTAAAAGTTCAAGAATTGACATGAAAATATCCTTACCACTAACAAACAGGTTAGGCCAATTAAGTTTTTAATGGCTCTCCACAATAGCCACCAAGGTTTCAAAATTAACAAAAAATAATATTTTTCCTTAACCAACATTCATGGCTAGGAGGTGATTTCATGTTGGATGTTTAGGACTTTTCTTCCATTCACTCCCAATAATGATGCCATCAGTTCTTAATTAATGTAAGTAATGTCTCTGCAGTTAAAAGATTCTTACTTGTTATAATCAAGCACCAGAGCAGTCAGATTGCTCATACAAATGGACCTACAAACAACAAATAAAGTACTTTTATGAACTATTAACATGGTCAATATTTTTAGGATATTTATTCACCAACACATAAAATAAATCAATGTTCATTTCTGATTAATTAAAAATACAATTTGATAAATTATAAAAACCGTTGCTATTTGAACAATAATCCCTAGAAAAAAGTTTGCGTAACAACTTCTTTTTCCAAAAAAAATGTTTGCGTAATGACTTTTGTTTGCATCTTCAAACAGAAAAATCTTGGAAAAAAAAAAGTGCCTGTTCGTAGAGAACACCAACACATTACACCTTATTGGATGGTTTAACATCTACATGCAGGTGTTTAGGGAGTTGCGTTATATCCCCTAAAACATTGATTACATTGAGGGATTATTATTCCACCAATTCTTCATCTCCTAGTATTTTAGAATGTTTTCATGCTCCTCTCCTAAAACGTGTCTCATCCTTTAAGTTCTACTTTGAATATCCTGAGAGAAACGTATAAATAATGGCTGCAAGCAACATTTAATTAACATTAAGGTAAAGCAAATGTTAAAAAATTGATAATTAGCAAAAGTTTGCTATAAAATGCTTATCTAATCTATATCAGTATGATATCAAGTGATGAATATTCAAATTACCTTGCTAGCCTGTCTACTCCATAGCTATTGATACCACACTCCAAAAGTTCCAGGTATTGAATGGGATAAATAGATTGCTCCAAAAGCAATGCCTGCATATGAAGTAGAAGCAACTGCAAGTTTACTTTCACATCTGTGGGAATAAATATCTTCAACTCTATAGATATTTTAATCTAAAAACTTAATGCTTTATCAAAACCATGTGTAGCTGATCCAACTCATCTTCAGTTATTATGTACCAGCGAACAAGCAGTATACTTGAAAAGAGAAGGATGTTATCAGTATTCTGTCACAAGCACAAGGCAAAGGAGATTTTAATTCCTGCCACAGCAAATTGTACTTCAGACCTTTAGATTCATTGCTTTAATGATCTACCATTAAACTACAGAGAACCTTACAATAATCTTTACTAAACGCAGGTTCATCTTTGATATGCATCCTGCATGCTTCTGGGATAAGTAATGTTGAAAGTGTTGGGTCAGGAAAAAGAGTAAGAATAGTGGTAACAGTTTGCTTGGCTTGCGCATATATATCAGGCTGAATTAAGAAAGATGTTGATAATTCTGGTAACATGCAAGTATAAGACAAATGATATCAGGGTTTGCAGAGATTCCTACCCTTGGGGATAAAAGAACTTGAGAAACTATAGGACATTTCAGTGATGAATTTGTGAATAGAGAGAAAGATCATGTAAAAGGAGACACAAACATAACAATACACCACTAGTCTTAATAGAAGAGCTGCAGATGTTTCTTTAGGCTGTTAAACTGTGAGCACACTTAGATGGATGACAGTGAAAACTATCTGTTTTGGAGGCTATTCATTTTCTTAAATCCAGTTAAAAACCATACTCTAAGACATTTGCAGACACATTGCTTAAAATGTTGACATGTTGCTCAAAATGAAGAAAAAGCTCAATCTGCTGTCAAATATGAACTGTCATAAAAAGATAAAGAGAAATTGTAAGTTTTGAGCTCAGTTAAGAAATTGACAAAGATGTTTTTTGACTTGTCACTAGCATGGGACAAAGAAAATATTCCAAGTCCCAATGAGGAATTGCACCTCAGACCTTTGGATTCTGTTCTCTGATGCCCTACCAACCAGCAACAGAGGAATCAAACCTCAGACCCTCAGATTCTGGCTCAGATTCTCTGCCACTGAGCTACAGAGACTCTATGGTGAGCGAGGCCCATTACGAAGTTCATAATGCATGTGCTACATACTGCTAGGATTATGGGGACTCAGAATATTTTCTTTGTCCAACACTTGTGACAAGACAAAAAACATCTTTCTCTATTGCTTTACCATGCAAGCTCAAAATTCTTTCTTATTCCATTTACAAACATGGTGCTTTCTGGCTGATCCTAGCAGTATACAGGATGCATGTCATATATGAACTTTGTAATGGGCCTTGCTCACCATAGAGTCTCGGTGGCTCAGTGGTAGAGAATTGGAGCCAGAATCTGAAGGTCTGAGGTTTGATTCCTCATTGGGACTCTATCAAAATATTTTCTTTGTCCCATGCTCATGACAAGACAAAAAACATCTTTCTCTATGAACAATAATGCTGCTGAAATAAAGATATGCCACATTAGCCATGGGATTTTGGGCGTAATAACAGATGGACATGAAACTTACTGTAACAACCAAAACAATTGCCAAACTTTCAAAACTAAGCAATAAATGTATGTCATTGGTATCTGGCTAGATGGCACCAAGGTTAGATCGCTCCCAGTTAGATTGCTCCAAACAAATGATTTTTAAAGTTTTTAGGAATAAATGATTGTGGAATAAATTATGTTACAGTCTGAAGTGTATTGAAAGAGATCAATCAGTGGCCTTTTTTGCTGTTCGATGTAAGGAAACTGATATCCACCATCTTTAATTAATAAAGCAGATTACACTTTGTGAGGCTTTTACATGAGGCTTTATTTGTTCTTTCTGCGTAGTTCAGATTTATTTCAAGTGTGTGTGAGCAATATTAATCCATTGTTAGGTAAGATATGCACGACATTTAATGCACTATCAATTTAGATACCTTAGTTTTGCTACCTTTACCTTAGTTTTCTACATGGAGTGAACTAAATTATGTTAGGAGCAAAGTCACTTATTTGATGGAGCGATCTAACTTTTAATTGGTTGGAGCAATCTAACTGGGAGCAATCTAACCATGGTGTGATCTAACTGTAACTCATGTCATCAATAAGACAAAATGGTGGTTGGGTGTGGCAAAGCTTAGATTAAGGGCTGAAGTCATAAACCAATGATAATAGCCCCCAAAAGTCTGAGGGAATGAATATGTTGTTTGGTGTTTTTTTGGTCTTCTTTTTTTTTCATTCATATAATGAACATGGGTTGCTATAGTAGTTTGTGCTTTAATCATGTTTAACTTAGAACTTTCCCCTGAGATACAGTAAAAAGAACATTGAACAAACCAGCGTAGCAATATCCTCGTGTTTCATTGGTACATCCCAGATATAGATCTCTTTGACATGAACATATCGATTACTCCTTATAGCTGCCACAAGTGGTGAGACTTTTACAGGTATTTCATCTGTTGGACCTGGGGTTAAAATAAACTGTTGACAAACAAGAAAAGTAAGTCAACACTGGGGAGGATTCATGCTTTACAAAGTCAGCCCTGTGAATCTGCCCAATGGACAACATTATGAAAAATTTTGTTTCTGAATTCAGTCCTGTGAAATACACTTACTTGTACCAACACTAACAAAATCCACCAATGAAAGCAAATGCAATATGCTGCTTAATAGCCACATTCAAATTATGCTTTACAAATATCTGTATTTTGTCCTTGAACTCTTAATCACTTGTGCATTTCTGTTCAATAAACTTTCTCCTGTATAAGGGAGAAAAAAAAACTATAATTTCCAAAAAAAAAAAAAACTATTTGGACCTTGCAGTGCAAGCAAAACACAATGCTATACTTTAAGTTCCATCACCCATCTAGCTGAGAAAATGTAGTCAAGGTGCACAGCACATTTTTCTGTTGGTAGGTCCTTGAGTACATGGAACCATATGGAGTATGTGTGACAAGCTGCTGCACTGCATGTGTAATTTGGGGTTGAAGCATAGGGGACTGTCAAAGTAGGCAAGGTGAATGATGTTTTTTTGTAATTTTTGTTCTTGATAAGTATATTACCAACACCTGTCTGTTACATGTATTTTATATTTACAAATAAAAAAATTGGCTGCTCCAACCAAAATAGCACCAGTTATCTGCTATTAATATTTGAAAGAAAACAATCATGCTGCTTTTCTATACTGTGGAATCATATCAATTATATACATAATGTTTAGAATATCTTGCCTAAATCCTGAATTTCACTCACTTCTGGTATTTGTATCCATGGTCTTTTAAAATAAATCAGGATGACTGAGTAACTGAAAAGGTTGACTTTCTCTCTAGTGACACCATTTCACTTTGTTACAAAAACATCCTTGATCTAATGTCACTTTATGACAAAACCTTGTGAGCAAGCTTCTCAGTAACAGGTAAAAGGAATGCAATATTAGAGGGGTTCACATTATGCACCTTATTAACTCTTACTGAACCACAACACCAGTGCCTTTCCTGCACCAACCTCTCAGTAGCACCTTACACACTTGCAGTAATTACCAAAAAGTAAGCAGGTATGTTTTTGTTTTACTCACCTTTGCCAAAAGAGAGTTACTTTCAGCATACTGGTTGATAAGTTTCTTCACATCTGGATGCACATAACTATTGAAATCCTTGCATTTCACTTCATATTGGTGCCTGACTGACTTCAGAAGATCTGCAATACTCTGTAGACCCTTCAATCCTTTTTTGGCACTCTTCTTTCCTATTGCTTTTTTCTTAATTGCCTTTTTTCCCACTGGCATTGTATCTGTAGCAGCTGGAGATAATATAACAAAAAAAAAATTGATTTAAGGATTTCAATTTCTAAGGTGGTGCAATGTTTTGGTACTTTTTGTGCATACTAAACTATTAGCTTGAAAGTGAAAAGTACTATTCACTTAATTACCACAGGTATTCCTCTCCAAGCAGCTAATACACATAGTAGACAAAACTACACAAGAGACTAACTTATTACTGTTTTTCTGTATATCAACAGAAATTGTAGTTCATGCTTGGTATATATAATTATCCAATTCAGTGTCAGTGAAAGTGATAGATAATTACCTCCCCTTGGTTGTACAATAGGCCATTTTTAATATATTAAAATTTCTAACTTGGTTCATGTGCTTGTTTACATTCAACCGATCACTATTATATTCATTGCAGTTGATGGTACTGGACCATTCCTTCTCATCATGCAATTTTCTTGATACTATTGGCCATTTCATAATCTTTGAAAGGGTATTAATATCAAATATTATAATTATAACATACAGTGTATGTGCAAGGCATACCTATTTCCTAATGTAATTTCTGCAATTCAAATATATGACTTTCATACATTCACAGTCATTTATGCTCCATACTCTCATAAAGCATGTTACAATAAGGCAATCAGAATCCCTGTTAGAATGGTTTGAAAAAATCCGATTGGCTGTACAAGACTAACGCTGTCAAAAATATCAAACCATCACAGTTCAAAAACCATTAAAGTTCACATTCTCCAATAGTTTACAAACTTAATAGTTTGGCAGGTTGAATTTAACACTTTTGGCTGAAGTTTTTTAGTCTCTAATGCAGAATCTGAAAGTGAAATGTTCTGAAATGCTTAATTGTAACTCATAAAACACACAAGTTTTTTCAACATGACAATTAGAAAACAACCTGTTCAAGCATGTGTTTTATGAATGAATAACAGCTCAATTTACCAGATAGTGAAAATCGCTTGGCATGACAGCACCTTAAAATTTGGCTGCCATGACTGATGTGGCCTTCCACTCATCGCGTAGGAAAAGATATCAGAGCTAGCTCTAAGTTGTTCTCTCGCAGGGTGGCCAATGTATTTCCGTGGCTTACTTGACTGCGATAACTGGAGATCACCATGATGAGCTAGCTGTGTTGGACCTCAGCATGCTTGTGGTCACTCTGACACCATCATGATTAGTATGAATTTTAACAGTGACACCAATTTGGCTTTATTTTCATCATTCCGGTTTTGTTCTGTTTTGTTTTGTTTTTGAACACAAAACTATGTACTACATGAGTGTTAGCTGTGTTTGATTTTTATTACCATCTGTAAACTTGCAATCTAATTGGGTGTGAAAACATTCAAAACTTGGTCTGTCCAGTTCGTTTTCTCTTTGAGGATTTTTTGTCTCTGCTCTCATCATTCTTCAATTACAGCCCCTGGCATGTTTACTAATTGTTGTTTGGTTTGTCTGTTGCTATTTTCCAACTTGCCTGTTCCCAAATTTCACTTTCAATTGCAAAAAAAAAAAAAACTAGAGAAAAGTCCTGGAAAAGGTTGGACATGGTACAATTTGGCAGGTGGCATGACAGCTTTAGCTAACCTCTATGCTCTATACTCTGGTGGAGCACGCTCTTTCAACCAATGACATCGCGCATTATATCCCAATTTGATCATAAATATTAATAGTCTCTGCTCTCATCATTCTTCAATTACAGCGCCTGGCATGTTTACTAATTGTTGTTTGGTTTGTCTGTTGCTATTTTCTGACTTGCCAGTTCCAAAATTTCACTTTCAATTGCAAAAAAAAAAAAACTAGAGAAAAGTCCTGGAAAAGGTTGGACATGGTGCAATTTGGCAGATGGCATGACAGCTTTAGCTAACCTCTATGCTCTCTACTCTGGTGGAGCTGGCTCTTTCAACCAATGACATCGCGCGTTATATCCCAACTTGATCATAAATATTAATAGGGCGTTACTGGCTAAGCCAGTAACCACATCAACGAACATTGCCGAACCTGATTTGAAAAACTACCGACACTAGACGATAACCTCCGGAAATAGTCAAATGTTCCAGACTCACTCACTTTCTTACAAATCACACCTGACAGAGCAATGTTGAAGAAACTTAATCACGCATTTGAATACACTAAGATGCCGTATACTACACATCCTTACTTTTCAGACTATTCCTACTTAGTTGTCATTTTCTGAAATGCAAGCTGATACGTACCTGGTGCTGGAAAACAAATTACATATCAAGTGGTACCTTGAAAGTTTAAATCGCAAGGTACTTTATCTCAGGTAACATCAGGTAAGAGAGGAGATACCAAAGTCTGCTTTGTTGGTGAAGTTCAACTTAATTTTGTGATGCAGGAGACCGCAAGAGGCATAGTAGTTGTTTGTTGATTCTCGCTCATAGCAACTTGGCCGATAAAACCTGGACACTAAAGTAGACGTCATACATCCACAACAAAGATGGCGGACGAAGAGGTCGGATCAACACATTATGCAGAGGAAAGGTGGTCGTTGTTGAATTCGCTCAAATGTACGGTAGAAAATATTCTTATGTCCAATTTTGAAAATGGCCAAGTTACTACAGTTAGTTCTTCCCATGTTGAATTTGATTTGGAGCGCATTTTTGAGCATGGACTACGCAAAAATCAAGTAAGGATTTCCCTTTTATTTTTGTTGTTTCATTATTGTTTCATTAAGCCAAAGAAAATACGTGTCTGCGTTCAATTCATTAGTAGTTAACAGAAGGAAAGAGAAAAACTGAGTATGGAAAGCTGAAATGAAGTGTTAATTTTTACAAGTAATCAAATGATGTTTCATGCAATTTGGAAACATGAGCTAGTTTACCTTTCTGAAGACTACAGGTGGCAGTCGCCCAGATTTATTCAATTTTGCAGTATTTTAAATGTTTATGTATGCTTATTTATTTTAAGTTGTACTTGAAATCCATTAGTTGACTTTGTAGATGCTAATTTCCTAGAGTAATGAGAAGATCTATTCATAATATTACAATGAACCGTGTCTGTTGAGGCCTGATTTTTCATTGGTCTGTAGAATGTTCTTCAAAAAAGGAACAGTGTGTCATAAGCTTTGCTGTGTGTAATTGATATTGTATTTATTGAGTTTCATCTTCTATTTATCAAAAGAGAACTGGTCAAGACAAGGGTGAGAGAAATACAATGGTTGTAGTTTCACCATTTGATGAAATTGTTCAAGGGGATCTCACTGATGCTATTGAAGACATATTAGAGAAATTCCATCAAGCTTTTCTTGGTTGCTCTCTGTCTGCCTCCAATTTGTCTCAGCTGGTTAACAACAGGAAAAAAATTCATTGCTTGTACCAAGGTGAGCTTAATTAAATGGTATCTGAAAAGGTGCACAGTGGAACATGTATTAAGTTGTCACCCATGGGGAATGGCAAGATGACTCAGTAGTTAGGAAACTGATTGTTTAATACAGGGTGATAGCTTAATAGGGTGCCACTTAATACAGGTTGGACTGAATTACTTAATGTGTTCTCCAATTTTCATAAGTAAAAGAGTAACAAGCTCTTCTATAAAACTTTTAAGTTATTTTTTTATGTCAAGTTGGACACAATTTAGGTTTTAGTTTTTATACAGTACCAAAGTCAGTTGTCTAAAAATATCCTTACCTTTTTCCTTTCTCCAAAACTTGCCTCTCTTTGTGAGTATTTAAAGCGTTTAAATGAATATATTTTACCTACAGGAAACAAACATGCAATGTTGCAGAGAGTTTTATTTATGGTTTTTTATATGTTATCTAGCTTCTTGAAATATTGGTTTTAGGGAAATTCAGCGGAGGATGACTCATTTTTTGTTGATTGATAATTCATTAATGTTAATTAACATTGGTATTACATAACACATTAATCAACATCATCCAAATCTTTTCATGGGATGCTTCTATACTGGAGACACTTACCCTCGTTCTGAGTCTGCCTTCTGAAAGGACCTTCCACTACACTTAGTCGTCTAATGGAGGATTAGTCTAACTAATGGAGCTCTTAACTTTACTATGATTGTGATAGTTAATGATAGCATACAAATTGATACAAATTGAGGCAGTAATGGAAGTCAGTCTATGTTTGTTGACAAGTTCAATGAACTGAATTTTTTTGAGCAGTCTAGCTTATAATAATAATAATAATAATAATTATAATAATAATAGTAATAATAATAATTACTTTATTGGATAACACAATTACCGGTAGAACCAGTAGTTCTCATTGTGGTCCACTAAAACTTCAAATTCAAATAGCAAAAATGCAAAGTAAAAATACAGTTAAAAATTGAAAATTAAAAATTAATTAAAAACTTCTGCTTACAGTAAAATTATCAACTCTGGAGTTCCAATCTATATATTTTCTTATATAGTTGATTTTTAAATTTACCAAGGGAAGTGAGACCCCCTAGTGGCACCGTCTAGGTTGTTCCATAATCTAGAACCACTTGCAAGGAATGAACATTTGCCGGTCATAGTGCTAAAGAAAGGTGTGGATAAGTCCATATTAATTGACGCCTGAGTTGTGTAACAATGTCTATTTTTAACATAATGAATATAATGATTAAAGTAATCAGGACATTTCCCACAGATAATGTTATGCATAATACACAATTTCCTTTGCTCTATTATGTCACTAATGGGAATCCAACCTAATCTCCTAAAAAGGCCAACTGATCTTTCAGTGCCTGCATTTAAAATTACTCTCACTGGCACAATGTTTTTGAATTATGAGGAGCCTTTATAAATTATCAATCTAAGTGTTTCCCCACACTGAACAACAATATTCGAAGATTGGTTTAATTGAAGTGTTGTATAGCAAATTCCTAAGTGATAAATTCAGGTACTTTCTGGGTCTTTTAAGAAGATTTACCCTAGAATTTAATTTAGTGATCATGTAATCTATATGGCTATTCCAATTAAGATGCTTGTCTATCTTCACACCAAGCAGCTTTTTGTTCACGGCCTCTTCTATTTCAGTGCCTCACAATGAAAGGTTAGGCGGTTTGTGCAGTAGAAAAGTTTTTGCTTGGTTCCAAGAAGTAGCTGTTTTGTTTTCTTTGCATTTGGGACCATCTTGTTTAGTGAGAACCAGTGATTCACTTTGTTGAGACTTCCCTGAAGTCCGTGTTGGATATGCATAGGATTAGAATTGGCAATCCATAATGTAGTGTCATCGGCGTTAATATCCACATTGCAATGAGGTATTGCAAGTGGAAGGTCATTGATATATAACAAGAAAAGGATGGGACCCAAAATAGAGCCTTGTGGAACGCCTTGAGTAATTGGTAGTGTGTCAGACAATGATCCATTGATACAACATCGCTGTGTTTGATCATGTAGGTAAGACTCAAACCACCACAGAGATGTATTATCGGTCTGGTACATACTGATTTTTGATAAAAGTAGGCTGTGATCTTTATATTTGAATTGCAATCAGGTTTTATCAAGATTCATCTTCCTGGAAGACATACAAACAAATAGAGGAATTAAACAAAAATCAGGGGAGTATCAGCCTATCAAAGAGCTTCTAACAGTATCTTAATAAGTAGAAATACAATATGACAGAATATGAACATTATATGAATTTTTATTTCAATTTATTCAAATGATGTAGCAATATTGTGTGAAGGGTATGCTTTATTTGGTTTTTTGAGATTTTATGGCAGCCTTACTGTACTTTGGGTATATTTTAAATGTTTAACTTAGTCTGCATTTGTTGAATCACTTTAAAAATGAGTTGATACCATAATTTAACATCAACATTCCTGCTGTCATCTCTCAAACAATGAATTGCCCTACAATCGTTTGCAAACCTCTTTTTTGCATGTCATTTATGTATGGACAATGTTTATCTTAAGACTAATTTTCCAGTGGTTTGCAGGTATCACAAACTTAATTTTAATGTAAAAGTTTAAGTGAAAAAAAACTTGATCAAACATGTCTTCATCATGCTAATCAATTTTTGTAAGAAATAATCAGTCCATGTGCAAGCTGCATTATGTGAGTAAGGACCTACAGTCCAGATAATCTTTTCAGATAGCAAATTACCAGCATTTCAACAACTTTCATAGGTACTGCCGCTAAATTTGGAAATTCATTGAATAAATCTGCAATCCAATGTAGCATTTAGGTCAGCTGAAGTTTGGACAATTAATATAGTATCACAATACAGATTGTTACCCATGACTTACCAACAAATCACCAACAGATTACTGACTGTCTGCCAGATTACTATCTGTCAGCTGATAGTTGGCTAACAGGTGTGCTTATAACTGTTGTCTGGCAGTGGGGTGTCAGTAGGCTGACTTTGGATGGACAGGTGTTTTTCCACAGAGTACTTCACAATTACCAAGTAAAGAAAGAAGAAAGCAACTCAACCCATACCCTTCCAAAAAATTAATCTTGCATTAATAGCAATTGCCTATGTTTTTGTTTGGTATGCAAGAGAAATAGAGGGAAAATGCATGTTAAGTACATGTTTAGGATGAAAGTAATGTGACATTATGTTTTTTTTCTTATTTGTATGTTTTAGGACATTGAAAAGTCAAGGAAATCATAGCATTAGGGTTGTAGTGCAGTATTTTGATTTGACCACAGCTATTAGACTCACAGCTATACAATAATGTACTCCTATGGTACACTACCTTCTGTAATGTGATGTTTTGTTTTTTTGAAATTTTGTTGTAATTTCTTCAGTTCTTTTTTACTTAGTTCTAGATCACAGAAATGTTTTTAAAAGAAAAAATAGGCACATGTGTATCAACCATACATACTATTTATTTTTTAGACTATGCATTTCTGAGAAGCAATCCACATGTAGAGGCAATGTGCACTTGTATACAAGCTTTAGAGAATGGTGACTTTCAGCTGCTTGCTAAAATTGATAATATTCTGGTGAGTACTATTTACACTGCATTAATTTAAGACACTAAATGATGTTTAATGGGAGCAAATTATTAAAGATTTTGTTCTTTTGAACTTTCAGCTGAACAAGAAAAAGTACATTGATCTGTGGTTGCAGGGAAGTGTGAACTTTAACACTGGTTTACTTCAGTCCTCTATCATAGACAAAGACATCCAGGGAAAAGATGTTGAAGAGCTTCCTTCATCAAACAGCTCAGGTTGCAGTAGTGAAAAGGACTTCTGTCAAAATGTCTCATTGTATAATTCTCCAGAGGAGAGTAACATTGAAATAACTGATGAATCAGTTTACCCTTCAGTTGGTTTGCAGGAAAACCTGCAACATTGCCCTGGGTCTGGCCATAACTGTTCATATTTACTGACAAACATAAATGATCAAACTCTTGGGCATCAATGTTTATCAAGAAGTGGATCCCATACAGAGCAGATAGTAAGAGAAAATGTCAAAGTAAATTGGTCTTCACAAGCTTCTACAACTTTTGGACCCTTGAAAACAAGGGATAGTGTAAGAGCAACTTTAGCTTATGCAGCACTGTCTGCTGTAATGGAAAGTGATGAGGGTATTCCTTACACTGCAATGTGGTTGGATGCTACTGATGACAAAAAATCATGCAAAGTCAGAAGAGCAAGCACTGGTAGTCTTAACAAATTTTTTTTGCACTCTCAAAGTGACAAATTAATAAACAATGGGATGTTAGAAGCAGCCAACCTTGAAACTAACTCAGCAGGATCATGTGGCAAAAATGTTAACAGCTCTACTGAGTCTGTTACAGAACATCAAACTAGGAAAGCTATTGGACACAATAGGTCAAAGTCAGATCAGCTTGGTGTGACACAAATTCAGAAGCATGAGTTCATTAATGATCTGGCTCTAAGTGGTGGAAACAAGGAGAATTCCTGCAGTGATCTTAACAGATTGTCATCTTCACTTCCTGCTACATCAGGTGAGAATTTGAAGCAATTCTTCATTCTTGGCATGATGTTACCAATACCTTGTGGAACTATTCAATTTTTCTTGTAGAATCTCTGTACTGCATTGACCCATACATGGATGATCCTTATCAAGAAAAATCACTGGCAACACTTCTAGCATCACAGGATTTTAGTTCTTGTGAATTAGACAAGGTATTTGCCTCTAACAGCAACTGTTTTAAAATTTAATTTCATATAGCAAAAGATTCAAAAACCAAAAGCAGAAAATGATATGCTAACATAGGAAAAGTTTATGTGACAGGCATTAAACTGGACCACCTATCAGTGATGAAAAGATGATAAAGAGCTGGCTGCCAGATACAGTGAAAACCCATTTAGAAAAAACTGTTTTTGCATTTTTCTGTAAATCTACCAAACATAAACCTGCATTCAAAGTGACAGAAATTATTGCCAACAAGCCTTTCCAGCAACTCTGAAAATTTTTTGTGGGATCACATATATGACACAATTTATTTAATAACCAAAATTTGTTGTCTGCATATCCTTTTTTTAAAAAAAATCTTGATATTGGCCAAGCAATGAATGAAATCCATACTTCTATTTTCCACTTCTTCACTGGTGTGGTTATGGCTGTGATTTGTCCTCATTTGAATGTGTTCTTTTACAGGAGAATGCCCATTTTAGTATATCTGAAGCACTGATTGCAGCAATTGAACAGGTTTGAAGTCACTTAATATGTGCAACTTCTTTATTTCACTATTTCATATTCATATTTTAATACCTTATAGAAGTCACGGCCTTAATAAGTTAAACAAATTGTATCTTTCTACATGTTTAGGAATGTTTTATTTCATATAAACAGTGTAGTGTACTGTGGTAGTGTCTAAATACATTCATTAAACAAAAGTTGGCAAAATCTTTCACTGTGAGTTTTTAAAGGAGATGCATACTCTAAAAAGCAATTTTTATTGCCACTTTTAAAATGTACAGGTATGTTTAAATTCTTTTAAACTAAGCATGTTTTTAGACTCCAAAATGTAAGCCCACTTTTTTTTTAAATTCTTCAAAATATTCAACTACAAATACCATTTTGTGCACTGCTTTGTAATTTGCGTACCAATCTGTGAAATCTTCCCTGGCCCAGTTGTTGAAAGGGAGGATATTGCTAACCAACAGATAAATCACTATCCAGCAGATGACTGTAAACTAAACATACTGGACCATCCACCTCATAGGGATTCATCCAGTGGATAAAATTATCCACCATTTGAAAAAAGCAGAACCAGTTCTTGTACATGTTAGTTTTGGATGTGTATAGCTAAGATACAGAGTTTTTGTTGTTGGTGGTTGTTTTTAAAATGGCATCCTAAGGATAGGACTTAAACCTATTTGAAGACAGTATTTTAACAGGTAGCTTGTACATTGTTTTGAATGGTAGGAATTAAAATCATACATGTACATGGTGGAGAGTATAATTCTTCAACATGATGATGCTTTCTTAATCTGGGTGTCCTAGAGTTTTCTTGATTTGAATGAATTTATGTTGTGTATTATCTCTAGTATATTGTGAAATGAAAATTTTATTGAATGAGAACCTGGTCACTTGACTGAATTTCATACAGATGAAGTGTGATGCTGTCAATGCATCAGAGGAGGAGGAGGAGGAGGAGGATGAAGAAATCCTTTACTTGAAGAAAGAACTTGAGAGAAAGAGGTGGGAGAAAAGGCAAAGAAAAAATTTGCAAGAACAGGCTGCCTTTAGTGATGAAGCCACCCAATCTACAGCCTCTGAACCCAGCATGCAGACAAACTCTTCAAGTGAGTCATTATGATTGAAAAAAAAAAAACAGAAGTACCCAAAGATTAAATTCAATTATGAGTCAATCAACAAAATTAAAGTTCATGGAGGAGAAATGCTACAATTCAGCACTGACCAGAATGATGGTTAGATATGCATCTTGAGTACTGCAGTATTGGTTGAATCCTGTTTATTACTTGGCAGCACATATATGTGTATATCTTGAACTTGCAATAGTTTTATGAGCTACATGTATTTGTATTAGTATAAGTAAAAACATTATTTTGAGTCAACAATTTATAGTCTTTAAGAATTTCAAGGGCTTATTTACCTTTCTCAGCAATACAAGATTCTGCGATTTCTTGGTGTTTAGTTTCCTATTGAAAGATTTTTTCAAATGAATCAAGAAACTGTTTTGGATTGGGGTATTCTTTTGAGTGAATATTAAAATGAAGTGCTTGGCTTCTAAGCAACAAAAATATATTTGACATTTGAGTTATCAAAAAAATATATGTGACGTTTGAGTTATCTGGGTTCAAGCACTCTCCCTCTGTAAAAAGGTTGTGTGTTAAAAAAATTAGTCTCAGTGGTACCCATTTTGAATAATTGTCCCAAAAAAAATGTACTGACTTTATTAAACATGTCACAACTAATTGTTTTTACTTTAACAGCAAATCAAAGTGTTTTGTCTCATTTAGGGTCTGTATTTGACAGTGAAGATGAGCTCAGTACTGAGTGGGAAGAACTAAGTCCAACAGATGAACAATTACAGGAAAACAATGAATTCTGTACATCCAATGCTACACCCTCTTATCCTAGCTCTGTGACAGACACTGTATTAGACTCAGTGCATAATCCAAATTCCAAGCTGCACTATACCCAGTTGTCTGCTGAAGCAGTAGCCAAAAGCTTGTTGCAGAAGTTTGCCAACCAAAAACACCCAGCAGCATGGGAACTGCAATGGTTAGTATCATTTCAAGATGCTCCTCAGTCCTTGCTTCCTCTACCAGATACTGTGGCTGTGGCACCAGATGATATCCTTCAAGTTGAGGCACTAGAGAATAAACTAATGTCCAGACAAAACTCATTGCCAGTGAGTACTAAATCATCCATAACTAAGGTGTCATTTTAAGACAAAGGTTTGATCAAGGCTTGTTAAGGAAACCAAGATAATAATATGGAGGAATGAGGGTTGAAATGGAGTAGTAATGAAATAGCAATTCTGTCCATTATGTTGTGAATAAGAAGTTACCAATAGAAAATTTTCTTGTGCACTGTATAGTGATCTACCCTCTATATTATTATGTATGTCGACATGTATGTAAGAACAAGTGGTTGATTAACATGGTTGTTAAAAAACAATGCATCTTTCAATTTCAGAGCCGTATTCGGGGAAACTCAGAATGGGCCCCTCCACGGGCACAGATTATTTTTCATACTCATAAACCACCTAGGTATGTGTCCTACATATTGAACAGTTTGGAGTGTTACCTATTTGTGAGATGAGCAAGCCATTTAGGCCTGTATGATATGGGATTTATTACAACCAACTTGGTGCTACATGCCTGGTTAGCTTTACCATCTAATATCCAACACAAACTCAAAGAGTAACTTTTAAATAGTCAAAAACTAGGTGATCTGTGTTAAATTAGCATTGCAGTAAACTTTTGTGATGGAATAGTTTCTTTAGGGAACCAGTAATATTTTTAGGCATTTAAAAGAAGGGAATAGCTTTAATTGAGTTTCAGTTGTTTATTTAATAATACTCCACACTGTGTTTGGCAAATTCAAATATTGCTAAGATTCTTCCTGTCATCTAAGCTCTTCATATGGTTTTACAATCATAAGCTAAATATATACGTCAAGAAAGAAAAGAAATTCCACAGATTGAAGGGTAAATATTGTATGAAGAAATTAAAGAATGTGTAAATACAGGGTTTTGCTTGATAATAAGGTTGTCAAAAAACGAACCAAATTCCAACTTCAGTGGCTGCTGCAGCATGTCTTGTGGGCAAATTTTCAGCTCTTGTAAATTTGAAGTAAAAAAGAAGCCAATGCCTTTAAAGTTGCATCAGAAAATTATTTAGGAAAAGTGGTTCTTTATTTTGGACCAAAGAGAGATAAATTCAAGATTCCATTGTGGATTTATGGTCTTAAAAGCCTTATACAGATCAGTGCATCTTGCTTTCTTTCAAAAACTGTGTTTCAATTACGTAAAATTAATTGTGTGCTTGGAAGGCAAGGGCTGATTATTATGATTGATAGACCAAGGTAACTAATTTGTGCCCAAATTTCAGGAGAAAAGAATGTATGAGACAGCAAAACTTCAGATGTGCTGGTTGTGGTATGGCAGTCTCTCCAGGCAAGTTGTTAAAAAGCATTATTTAAGTTCTTTTTAGTATCTACAGAAAAAAAGACTTTTTCTTTATATCTTAATTATATCAGTAAGCCACTTAGGAGCCCTTACCAGAATCTTGGTCTTGAATTTGGCAAAATTTGCTCTGATGAAGGGCTAATGCTTCAAGCATCAGCTTTCAAACTCATTACAGTGGCAAGTTTGTTATCAATTCCTATATGCTAGTATACATGCATTTTGTTCATTTTTACAGCCTCTTCATTAATTTCTCAGAGTTATGACAGAGAAAATTTCAAAATACTGCAGATTCCCTTATTTGATATTTAGACCACAAGTGCTTGTCTCCTTACTATTTTCAGTTACTGTTTTCATATATTTTGTTTGAATTTTTTGATTGACAACCTTTTTCTGTTGGGGTTTACAATATACTTCAGTCATTGACTTTGCTGGAGAACATGTGGACTCTACTGGAAACACTTGTGAGACTGAGAAAAATTATTTTTCTAATAAATTGATGTAGCATATACCTCATGTCCCTGTAGTGGACACAAAGTCCTTGTTTGCAGAGTTCTTGCTGCTTATCAGTAGTTTGGATTTACATGTAAATAAGCAGTGGTTTTTTCCCTTTAGATTACATGAGGCGATTTCGGTACTGCCACTACCTGGGAAAATATTTTTGTAGTACTTGTCATAACAATGTATTGGAAGTGATCCCTGCTAGAGTCTTAAGAAAATGGGACTTCGCCAAATATCCTTTCCATATAAATGAAATATAATTTAAGTACTTTTTCTTATTATGTTAGGATGAAGAGTTAATTAATTGGTATTTAAATGTTTCTTAAGCCACTTATTTATACAGAAGTTCCAGCAGCACCATTTAATGATTTTATTTAGCCATTCTATATCATGTGGGAACACTTCATTGAGGTTTGGTATAGACAAAGTAATCAGACTAAACAATATGTATTTTGCATTTCAAGCTTGTATGCCCTTTTTTGCAAAGAATATTGGAATCAATTCATTATTTTGTAAAAATACACCTAGGAAATTTTGATTGTGCTTAATCTTGTTCACAAAATCAAGGAGTCTTCCTTTTCCATCAAGAAAATTTTCAACCTTTGCTCAAGAAGGAAATAACACTGGAGAGGTGTTTTTTGTATTCAAATCTGTACTGATCCACATGCTTGTACACAGACATTGTAAGTCTAACTAAACATAATTTGGAAACACTAAAAGCCTTGTTCAAATGGTCATTATAGCTGATGGTAGTTTAAACTATTGTGCTTGTTTGAATGTGAACTATCATGCACTAACATTCACTAGCATCAACTATCATCAACTATCATGTAGTTTGGACATGTTAAAATTTGACATGATAATTGATGATAGTTTTTGCCATTTGAATGAGTGGATGATAGTTTTTTGGTCAGTAGTTTTGCCAAAAAAAGGGCTCAAACAATAAAAAGTAGCCACCAAAAACTCGCAGAATGTAGTAAGTACATTTTCAACTGTTTGGGGCATAGGAATATCACAATTTTAAGAGGGGTTCCAAATAAACTGATTACACAATAAGTGTTTACACTGGTAGGTTCAGCTGCACTTTCTCTCACCCTTTCTCAGATAATTATGTTCCTGTTGTATCATGCATATGTGATATAGCCTTGTTGATTTTATGACACAGTTTTGTTTCTTCCAAAAACTTTTGTTTATTCATTGGTTTCAAGTGTTGCATGGTTACAGCAATGAGTGTCTTTATAATGGTACCCATTCACCTCGCCACCAAAGTGTAATCAATCTTGTCACTAAACATAATGATCCAGTAGCAATTGATGTAATTGTATTAAGTGTAGCTAGAGGATGTTGGATTAAACAAATATAGGTTTGCTTGAGCTTGTTGTTATCAGGTAAAAAATTAACAGGATCTCCTTGTGAGCTTTAAAAGCAGTCTTGTTTTGTTGATGAAAAAGTGCATGCCATCACTGACATTTCTTGTCGATCTTGTTATTCATTTGTTCAAGTAGAAAGTTACAGTCAATTTGGCTTACCTTTCCTTTCATGAACACTCTAAATATTCTCAGGCTAGAATTCATCATTCAGTAGTCTGTTTGATACCTTCTTTAGTCAGATCAAACTGGTGGCTTTTTATTGTTTCTGCCATCTCAAAAAGAACTACTGAGCCTTCAGCACAGTTTTGCAGTATTCCTCATGGGATTCTAATGGCAATGTTTGCAAGACTCCAGATGAAACTTAAGAGTCACTTATAGCTTTGAATTTATACCACATTAGCTAGCGACCTTGGTGGCCAGTTTACTGGTGGCAACTTGGTGGTGGCAAGATTGCCTTGGTGGCAAGCTCACTGGTGGCAGGATGACTGTGTACCTTAATAATGAGTGTCTTTATATTGATGAGTTTTCATCAACAGGTTAATCATGTACAATGTTCACTAGATTTCTAATCCTGTCAATGTTGCAGATCAAATGTGTTATTTATTTACTATGTGACAATGTGTGTACACAGTAACAAAAGATTGTGATTAATCAGGTAGCTCTGAACTCAAGATGTAGTTTAAATCTATAAATTTTGTCAGCTTTTGAAACCATTCTCCTCTTTTACCTATGTTTACTGCTGTTTCACTGGGTTTCCATAACTTGACATCAGATATGAGGTGTCTAATTTTGCACGTGACTTACTGCACAGGATATGCTTTGATCCTTTGTTTAATCTGATGGATCTCAATCCCTCATTATACAAGCGTATTCGAGTTCTAGAACGATTGAAGGTAATTTGGTTCACACTAATGATCTATTTTTTTCTTTATGTATATCGTGCCTGATGCAATATTTTATCTCTTGTCAGGATGTTCGTAGACGACTTCACTTTTTCAAGTCCTTTATTCAAACATGCCGTAAAGCTGAAGAGTAAGGGTCATTCTTTAAAAGAATAATAAGATACTAGAAACTTTGGCTCATCTCTTAGAGGGTAAAACAAATTACTAGCAGAAAAAAATTTTCATTGGTTATGAGCAGGGTGCAGAATGTTGAAGATGCTGGCAATCCCAGTATTTCTTTCATGTGTATTTTGTATTTGTTCTTGGTTAAATACTGAGTTTGTGGTTCAAGCACAAATCAAGTATGGCTGGGAAAACTGAGGGTTTTCATTAAGTGTTATATGAGTACTGAAGATGTGACTATAGTTGGGTTGTAATCAATTATGTCAAATAATTTTTTTATAAGAATCTGCAAACTTTTCTATCCATGTATGTATGTATATGTGTGGGATTGATGACTACAGAAGTTGCCTTCTGCACATCATGTGGATGGTATGAGAAAGTTGTAAAACACTTTCTGTTTGTATGTCCTATGAATTTTCCACTTGCACAGTCCAACTGCAGAAGCCATTTGCCTTGAAGTGACCAGTGAAGACTACTACTAACAAAGTCTAATTGAAGCATACAGGGAAATATAGTACCTTGGTGGTTTATTCATGAACTTTGCTGCCTTTGCTCCTTACTGTCATGATCTTGGTTTACCCCATCAGGGCCTGCATGCTTAGTTGTAGTAAGAAGAAAATGTATCACTTGGCAGCGTGTCAATACTAATAATGCATCTGTTTTTCTTCCTTTCCACCAACTTTTCTGTTTATTTGTAACTCCAAAATTGTATCTCAGATTCTTTGAATTGTCTTGGCAGATTAGCTGAAGAGTTCAACAAGATTCCAGATCATATTTGTGGAGAGCCTCATGTTTATTCCCTACATGACCTTTTGCAGGTGATTTGAATGTGTTTTAAAGAACATGTAAGAGTGGAGTCCACTTAGAGGTCCTACATGGTGATGTAGCTGATTATGTATGTTTCAGTATAAAGAACAAAAACGAATTGGTTTTTATGATGAATTCATCAACAATGGTTGACCTTGGAAGCTTGTGCATGGGTTAGGAGCATGGAAAACAGAAGTACATTGATCATGGCAGTCAGGAGAGCTTCTGTCATACTGGCAACTCTATTCCCAAATATGGAATGCACCCAAATAATTTACGGTTAATGAACTTGTATTGTGCAATATTTTAACAGAGTTGCTAGGAATAATTATTGTGTGGTATTGGTGCATGTAGTTTTTACAATTCATTCTTAATGAATTTAGCTTTGCTTATTAAAGTTTGATGATATAAATAACTGTTTGGCAGAGTAGCATAATGAAACTTAGTGTCGGCTTTCATAATGCCTATAAGTTTTATTTTGGCAATAGTAGAAGACTGAACAGTGATGGAAGTACTGTCAAAAGGACCAGTTCTCAAATGGGCAAACAATTGAAAACTACATGAGTCTCCTGAAATGGAGGAAAAAGCTCTTTCCTTTCTCCAAAGGTTTGAAGACAATTTAAGCAGATCCAGGTCTAGAGATCAGAAAATTCTTTAGAAAGTGACGTTATTCAAAGGTGTTCTCAAGAAGTGGGAAAACCAACTAGAGAAACTGGAGGAACACTGCAAACCTAGAGGGAACAAACTTGTTGCAGCTACTCGGTACAAGGTTGTTACACAAGTTGACATGCAAAATAAAAAACAGCACAAAATAGAGACAAGTCACAGAAGCATGTGGATGGCCAGAAGATGAGAAAGACATCACACTCAGAAATGCAATTCTCCTTGGGCTCTGGTGTATTAAAAGTGTTTGGAAGAAAACTAGGATATGCTTGAGGTGGAACAGGTCATTGTGATTGCTACAGACATCTACAACAGTGATTCTCAGAGATCATAATGCCAACTCTCAGTATGGTGTCAACAGCAGTCACAGCCACACAGCAAAGATCAAGTGAAGTTCACAATCTGCAAGAAAACCAATAGATCAGGAAAACCATGTAAGGATAACACAATGAAGACGCTCCAAAAAGAATGGACTTGGAGAGAAAGTAATCCTTCCAAAAGCTAAGTAGAGCTAAACCTGCTCATCTCAGGTCTAAGCATCCAGCCAGAGATGTGGTATGTCACAACAAGGCAAAACCAAGTAAGAAACAATCCAAGCCAGTTATCAGCCAACTCCACACCACTGGAACTGCTAGAATAACACTAGAATTAACCAACAGTTTCACCATTTACAAAGTTATCACATCAAGAGCATTAATGCCCTTTTAAGCAGGTGCGTCAAGCCACTCTGGTTGAGCTCAGCTGATAGGGAACTTATTTGCGATGTTGAATGTGAGATCAACTTGAGTGCTGGGGAAAATGTGTATGTGTAATTTTTTTGGAGTTGAGGAACTCATATCTCTTTCAGTCCAAATCTTAGGATATAGAGATGTGGTCAAAGGCTTTGATTGCCAGAGTGTAAGTAGCACATTCAGGTCAAGCCTGATGCTTAGGTGGTGCAGTACCTGTCCAGGGCAGTATGCAAGAAGAAAAAACCGGCTTACAAAGGCGAGCTAGAGAGATTTTGTAGCTTAGGAATTATCAACCCTTTGAGGGATGTGGATGAATGGAAAAAAGGTCAATCTGAAGAAACTGCTGTTCAAGTCAACCAAATGTACATTTTTAGGCCATATCTTGACACTCAAAGGTAGGAAGACTTACAGTAGAAAAGTGGATGCCATAAAGCAAATGAGTGCACTGAACAAAAAGAAGTGTCTTTAGAGTTTTCAAGGCATGACCAATTATTAGAAATGTTTTTCTCTCAATTTGGTAAAGCTCTCTAAGCTCTTTAAGCCTCTTCTCAGATAGAAAGTTGAATGGAGGTCTATGAAGAGTGGAAGCCTTTGTGGTAATGGAAGACAAACTAGGAAAGACCCCAGTGCTTGCATATTTCAACTCTAAAGCTGTACTTGTCATTCAGACAGATACATCTTTGAAAGGTTTGAGAGCAGTGCTGCTACGGGAAGGTAGACCAGTAATCTTAGTACTATAAACTGACTCCTGCTGAGTAGCCCTATTCCAAGAGTGAGAGAGAACTATTATGAGTAGTGTTTCCTATGAAGAGACTGCTCAATTATGTGTTTGGTGAACTTATTTGAGTTCAAATAGATAACAAACCATTGGAGGCTATTTGGAGGAACAATATCTTTAATGCAAGTTCAAGACTTCAAAGTCACTTCCAAGGCTTGCTCTGAATGAAATCCATGTGGAGAACATCAAGAAATGTGCTCACTCAACTAAAATACCTCTCTGGCTGGAAACTACACCCATAGTTTGGCAAACTTGAAGCCAAAAGTAAAGAAACATTCAAAAAGTACTTTCATAAAACCTTATTTAACTCTCTAATTGCGTGAAAAATAATTGAGATGCAGTGATAAAGCCATTTCATGGCAGTTTTGTCAACTATGGTATATTCAACAAATCAGTCACCATATTCTTCTTCTCTTATTTCACACAAAACAAAATTGTACTGTTCATAAAAGAGGGTTATAGCTTAAAATGCAAACTTGGAGTTAAGATCTCAAAAAAAAAGTTATGCTATAAAAACTAGGTAAAATATTTTTTTTTTTGTCTTCATATTTTTAGTTTCGTACCAATGTTCTGATATTTGGAGTACCACAACTACTGCAGCGACTTCCATCATTCAAACTAATACTTTTTAATAAACAAATATCACCTGAGACTGATGCCAAAGACCTAGGTGTTTAGCTGGATGCAAACCTCAGTTATAACAAAGAAATTACTAAGAGTGTTTCAAACTGTCTTTTTAAGTTAAAACAAATCAGTAGAATTAGGCATCTTATAAATAGGAAAATGCTGTTGCTACTTATGAGTGCCTTTGTTTTTAGCAAATTATTATCTTGCTCAAGCATCTGGAGCAATACCAGCAATATCAGCATTGACAAATAAGAAAAAGTTCAAAACTTTGCCAGACAAATTGTTCTGGGGCCTAGAAAAAATGATTGTATTTCTGTAGGACTAAGGCTCCTTTTCAAAGATGTACTTAAATTGACTGATGCAGCTATGATTTTCAAGTGCATTAATAATCTTCCCCCGGATTACCTTGCAAATAAGTCTAGGCTACATTCTTGTGTTCATGACAGGCAAACTCAATTAGCTAGTACCTTGGATATACCTTTTTGCCACCTTTGAGCTGGTCAGAGGTCTCTTGCTTATAGAGGAGCAAAACTGTAGAACTCATTAAGCAGCAATCTTAAGTGTTTAAAATGTTCCAAGAAATTTAAGCATTGATTTACTAAGCTGTTATTAGGTTAACTTCATTATTCATTATTTTTATTCTAATATATATATTTAGCTGTAACGATAGTCTTATATTCTTTAATTTGTTTTCTTTCTTTTAACCATTTGTATTGATGCTGAAAAACCCATTTAGGGAGTTTCAATAAAGATCTGTATCTGTAATGTAGAAGGCATACTTGAATTTCTTCCAATAAGCATGCTGATCAACAGGACACTAATATATAAAGGGTATGCTTTCTCAAAAACAGTTGATTTTTTTGTTGTGGGTCTGTGACATTTTCATTTGACAGCATCAGAAGAGTTGCACTCACATTGAACTTGAACTGATTTAGTTAAACAAGAGGAAAACAACATTGAGTCATTAAATGTTCAATTGTAGCAGCCTAAAGACCTAAAGAATAGTATTGAGTGCCCTTAAAAAGCTAAAATGACCAGCAGGTTCATCATTAATATTTACTTTTTTTCAATTGTTAGGTAACAATACAATTAGAATGAAACTATTTTATTTTTATTTAATTGGTCTGTATCTTGCAGGTGCATGATGGGGACTTACACCAATTTTTGAATAAGTTAGCAGTAGAATCTCTTAATCACATCAATCATTGTCAGGTATGACAAATAATAAGGCAAGTTGTATTGGTAAAAAACGCTCTTATCTGATTGGTATTTTAAGTGCTCTTATCTACCAAGCTTCATTTGGTTCATACAGGGCCAAACTGTGTAATACCAATTCTTATTAAAGTAACGACTTCCTGTGGCAACCATTTTAACCTTAAACATGCCCAACTGGCTCTAATAAGAACTTTTAAAGTGTGCAAACCAATGTAAATTTGATTTGAGAATTTAGCTTCATGAAAGTCGTTGCTTGATTTCCTTTCTATTCTGCACTAACTTGTTTGCTTTTTGCGATGTGAAAAGTTCAATCCAAGGGTTATGTGTAGATGGCACACTTTGTTAGGACTGTTCACCTTACATTACTCAGCTAAGACAATCAAGTCAGTCAATTTGTTGTCTACAAGTACTTCCTATGAGACCCCTTTCTCACTGGTTAAGAGTGTCTCTAAAATCACAATTGCCTTTGATGTAGATAAAGAACCTGTGTTAGAGATGTTAGTTAATTTGAGTATCATAATCTCTGTGATTTCATTGACTGATGTTGTTTACCCTGTGTGCTTATCCCTCTTAAGGAAAGTACATAGGTCTTCTACTTGTATTGTCTCATCCCAAATCATATAGAACTCAACCTTTCATGTTTAATGGCTGACATTTTTGTTGCAGTGTACACAATCCCCGGGTGACTTGCCCTTGTAGTTGGAAGTGATCATTTGAAATTTTGCCAAAGACTTTTCAAATTTGTTGCATTTGAAGACAGAGTATGAAGTGAACATGTTTTTAGGTGGTTCAGATTAGTGGAAAAATTCAGGCTGAATTCAAACCAGTGACTATCCTGCAAGGACATTTCAGCATTCTAACCCGTGACCTATCAAGCAAAATGGGAATTGGTTGTGGTTTACTAAAACAACCTTGTTTTATGATACCCATGTCCATGTATGGTTCCTGTTATGACATTAAAGGGGTTAAAAAGAATATTCAATACATACTCCCGATATTGTGCCAACTATATGCATTCAAATGGAAGCTTATATTTCACACATATATATGTGTGAAGTTGCATGGAGCACTGGCCAGCAAACTACTGTATTTTTCACATATTCATATTCTACAGGTTGTTACAAGGTTAAGGTGTTTTCATATTTTATAGTTCTCTAGCCTCTTAACTGCAGTTCACCACTAAGTTTTTTTTGTCTTTTCTTTTTTCAACTTTGTACAGCTGTGTCTTGCCAAAGGATTTATCTGTGAATATTGCAAGGATGGGAAAGACGTCATATTTCCTTTTATGCTGAACAGAGTTGTGCAATGTTTAGGTGCATTACTGTCCTATAATTTTTTAAACAGAGGCTTGGACTGTTAAAATGTTATTTGCTATTTATCCAAAGTTGAGGTCACTGTTGTTATTCCCTGTCTCAGAAGGAAGCACCCTGTGTCATAGTTTAGATTGTTAAGTATTGAGTGGATGGGTATTCAAATTAAAGCTCCATAGGTAGTTCTGCAAAAATTTTCCTATTGTAGTGAATGCCCTGTTCAATATGGACACAATTTACAAGGCATTGCTTAAAAGACAGTATCCATTGATCCAAATACTGCTTGAGTGTATTCACAGATTTCTTTAAAATTATTCAGATTAAACCAGGTTGTGGTGGTGCTAGTGCTAATATATTATGCTCTTTGTAGTTTGAAAGCTTCATTCAATTATTTTTGTGTGGTCTTCTTGTTTGCTAATGATTGTTAGACCTCTTAAATCATTGCTCTACATAGGCTGTCGGGCATCATTTCACAAGGAATGTTTTGTTGAAGGCAAATGCCCAAAATGTGAAAGAATACGTGTAAGGTAAAGTACATGTTATTGATCTTTGTTGTAGATTCATAATTGTTTTTAGTAATGTGGTGCAGTTCTTAGGACTTTTTACTCAAAAACCTACTATCAGTGTTGATTGAAATGGCACCAGAGAGTCAAATTAAACATAGCCAAATGAATAAAGGGGGCAAGATTCTAAAGAAACTGTGGTGCTGCATCAGTGGGGAAGTATAACAAGATAATTGGGTATTATCAACTGTTGATCATGTAAATTAGTCACTGTAAGGAGTTTTTAAGCTGACATTTCAGGGGTTAGCCCTTTGCTCTTACAAAGGACTAATGCAAGATTGAGTGAATAATTTTCCCAAGTTTTACTTAATTCCAGTCACAACAACAAACTGTGCATGACACATATTAGGTTTCCTTTGATCAAGGAAGTTGCAGTATTAACTTTGTTACAATGAGTGGCTAAAGTACTGGCACACTCTACTACTTTTTTTTCATTGATCTCCCCTCTCCTCCATTTCAATGTTGTTTGGTGAAAACAAAATGGTCTCTGATTTATTTCAACATTGTTTTAGGGGAAGGGGGGCTTTCAAGTTAAATATTAGGAATAAGTTACAGGTCTGGATTTCTGTTTATTATGTTGAGTGGGGGGTTGTTAACCACCTACTTAGGGGAGGCATGAGATATGATCCTTCTAAAAACAAGTATGTCACTTGGAGGTATTGAACAAGTGATACTCAGCTTCTAAACCAACTTTACAGAGACCAGCATGGTTTGTGAGGGTTTACCTAAGGAGGTTTTAGTTAGTTACTTACTTTCTTACCCACTAACATACTTACTTTTTTTTACCAACACACCGGTTAGCTTTACTAGTTATGGTCATTAAACTTGAAAACTGGAAAGGCAACCTGATAATGTTGTTCCTAGAATGTTTTCAACATATTCAAGTAATCCCCTTTGAACCATCATAACTTATGGAATAACGAACCAAAATTGTTACTGCCCAAGGATTGCCTAATTTTCCCCTGTTCAAAAAAACCCTTCTAGACCATAAAGCAAATTATTTTGGCATTCTGGATTTAATGTGAATATGTACGTATGCCAAGCCCTTTTCTTTTCACCAGTACTCACTTAAACATTGAAATTTCTAGTCTAACACTTCATCTATCTTCATCAGGAAACAAGTGTTATCTGAAGCTGTCTCTCCAGAGGAAGAACAGATCTTGGAATATTAGCCTTACAGATTTGTCTAGTCTGTAGATATTTGAGATCAGTGTCAAATCAAAAATGATAATATACAAATTCAGTAAGGGCTAATACCCCTTTGAGGATGATCGCTTTTGACATGTTTGACTGTATTGAATAATGGGCTTTCCATCCCGAGCCTTTGGGATTACCTTTGAATTGCAGTCTTCATACCTAGAGAGGTTATTCAAGCAACTATAAGCCGTATCAATAAGCAGAAATGCGGGGAAAGTTAGTTTAAAAAACCATTTTGGTATCCCTTTGCAATTGGGGCTGAAAGAATTTTACTCATGAAAAAGCAATTTATTTCATAATGCAACCGTAAGAAGTACACTTGGTTTTTTCATCCTGCAAATGGTATGACAGGATTTAATACATCACGCAATTAAAAAAATGCAAACTAACAAACAGCAAATGTTCTGATCTAGTTTTCTTTTTATGAAGTCTTACTTTTCTACACATGTAACTTATTCTACCCTGTACTTCTCAGAGTTCTCGCATAGGTAATCTTATTCTTTAAAATTATTTTTCCTATATTTCCTTGAAAAATGAGTCAAAATAAATTTTTATCAGTTTTTATAGAAAAAAAAGAAACCCTAATTGAAAGTACGGATTGGGGAACTTACAAAATATATTTTAAATGGCCAGTTTTCTCACTCGGGAGGGAAGTGTAGGGGTGTATAAAGTAATTAAGAACATTTACATCTGAATCAGAAAATGTTTCAAGGAAAAAAACTTGTAATTTTTCTACAACACGGACAAATCAATAAATAGTTTTTTCGTACATAAGCATCTCAAGTTTGAATTTTTTTTAGTTCAACATTAAACAAATGTTTGCTAGTTATCCTCGACTTGGGGTTTTTGGACGATCAACTCCTGTTTGCATTGTTTTAAAACAACTTGCAAGGCTGCTATATTCAATCAATAGTTCAAGTGGGCACATTTTTTATTAAAATGAACGGACTGTTATATTAGTGAGTAGTGATCACATCATTGTTGAGCTTGTATATCTGCTTGGACTTGCAAGAACATGCCTTGTGTGTTGTAAAATTGCAAGTGAAGTTCATGCCCTGCCATCGCTTAGCAAGTGGGTGAATACCATCGAACCATTTACTTAGCTACCTCACTGTAACCGATTGGACCATTTAAACGAGTTGTACCATTTTATTCAGTATGATCATTTTTAACCCATTACCCTCTTTTAACGAGTTTAGCCACTTTTTTTAATTAGACCGTTTGAACTGGTTAGACCATTTAAAACTCATTTTCCCAATTGGACCATGTCAACAAGTTGGACCATTTACCGATTTAGACCATTTTATGCAATTGGACCATTCTAACTGGTTTGACCAATTTAACCAGTTCGATCATTTTAAACCATTTAAAAGTGGTTGGATCATTTTACATGGTAAGATCATTTTGAATGATTGGACCATGTGTACGAATTGGACCATTTTCGCTGGTTAGACGATTTCTACCGGCTTGACCACTTTTATCTTTTTAGACTTTCAATTGTTTGGACTATTTTAGCTAGTTACACCATTCTTAACCATGGACCATTTTGACAGGCTGCGTTATTTTAACCAGTCAGATTATTTTCTTAGACAAACCATCTTCCAGTTAGGCCATTTTAACCAATTGTGTTCTTTCTGTTGTTAGACAATTTTACCTGATTAAATGGTTATAACTAGCTCGACTATTTTATCTAGTCAGGCTTACCAACGTAACCCCTTGGACTATGTTAAGCAGTTGGAACATTTTATTTATTAATATGGTTTTAACTGAGTAAACCATTTAACATCTTCCACTGATTTGTTTATGTGGACCATTTCTGCTATTTGAACCATGTTACCTACTTGGACCATTTTGAACGATTGAACCATTTTATCCAGTTAAACCATTTTAAGCAGTTGCCCCACTTTAACCAATGGGCGCATTTTAGCAGTTGAACCATCTTATCTAGTCAGATCAATTTAAGGGGTTGGACCACTTTATCTATTTGAACTATTTATCTATATGGATCATTTTACGCCCGATAATTTCTACCTATTTGGTTCTATTCAAATGTTTCTTTACCGTGAACCAATCAAATGACGTGCGTGATTGGTGCCAGTACAGGTTTAAATGGGTAAGTCTGGCCAATTATATCTCCTAAACAAATCTTTTTGACCAATCGTTTTCCTTTTACTTTTCGAGACAGCCAGTGGTAGGGAAACTTTAAGGGGAGTTTAAAAAAAAGTGTTCGCAAACTTTTTCAGTTATTCTATATATATATATATATATATATATATATATATATATATAACTAACTGCAGACAGTACTGTTTCGGCCTTCTGGGCCTCATCAGTGCAGTGCTGATGCTAGGATGGAGGTAAGGCTATATAGCCACCCCAAGTGATCTCACACATGTGGTATCATCTAAGCCATGCCAGAGTGCTCAAACTAGATAAACTAGTGAGCATGCATAATGCTAGCAGCAATGACTCATCCTAGTAGAGTGCTCAATTTGGACATGAAAGCAAAAGCTTTGTATGCCAAAGAGCTATATCTATATATATATATATATATGAAGTATCCCCATGTTAGCGAGTGGTATGTTGCTCTCATCAATCAGATCGCCACATTAGAGTATGTATCTTGCACCAGTCAGATTGCCGCATTAGGTATCGCACATATCAGATTGTCGCATTAGGGTATGTATCTCGCATTAATCATATCATAGAATTTGGATATCTTGTTCCAATCCCAGCGTTTGGGTATTCTTTTCTTGTAAATGATCTCATGGAGTGACGTTCACCAGAAACTTTGGGCTTGTTTGTAACTGTAATGGTTGTCGCCTTCGCTAGAGCCTCGTCTATTGAGGTCGAGATTCGGTCGAGGTTCGCATTAGTTTTATTCTGTTATTTTTAAGTTAAACGTGTTTTTCCGCTCCTTTTCTCACAACGTACACGCCAAACAACTTCCGATCAGAACATACCCAATTGTTGCACTACATTTGGCAATTTTTCAAGAGCTTGAATTTTATTCAACCAATCAAATTCCATTTTGCCACACCAGACTTCGCTCCATCACATGGTATTTTATGGTAGACAACCTGCATTTTATCACGTATTCTAACAGCATTATCCAACCCCACTGAAAAAAATTTACATAGAACTTACTACTACTGATAGTGAATTTTCAATGCAGTTCTCCCGCGTTTTGACTTTTTCTACAAATAATATTCACTTTCAGCTACCTTGGACTTACAATACAATACAATACAATAACCTTTATTTAACGAGGTCGAGATTTATCGGGATATGAAAGGTTCGCATTTTAATTTTTTAAGTTAAACGTTATTTTCGCTCCTTCACTAACACGCCAAGTAACTTACATTCCATCACGTACCATGAAAACAAAGTCGAAAGTCCAACCAGAACATGAACAACCGTTGCACTACATAAACATTAGGCAATTTTCCACGTGCTTGAATTGCATTTTTCCTATAAACCCCATTTTGCCATAATAGAACTTTATCCTTCACATGACATTTCCTTATAAACAACCTGCATTTTATCACGTATTCTAACCGCATTGTCCTACCCCACTGAAAACATTTCACACGGAACTCAGTGCTACTAATAGTGAAATTTCCACGAAGTTCTTCCGCGTTTTGACTTTTTCTACGAATAAAATTTGCTTTAAGCGACCTTGGACTTAACCCAATCGCGTGTTTCTTATAAAACAACGTGCATCTTATCACGTATTTCATACACAGAGGGCAAAGGGAACAACCAATTGGGAGCCCTCTTTGAAATCTTATCCTTTTCCCTTGTTCAATATATCTTCACTTGTACGAGATCACAGTATATCTGTGGTTAGGGTCTAATAGAGGTACAGCAGAGTTTCAGTTTGCTTTTCATAATAAAATTACGTAGAATTATATTTTTGAGTTGAGTAAGTGTAGACAAATAATTTTGATTTTCTCTGTAAGAGGAACGGCAGTAAGCGTAGTCTCCTCGCAACCGCTATTTGGTTTCGTAACGCGACGTGCTCTCTCGCAAACGAGAAATAGATGGCGTTGTGTCACGAGACCAAACAACGGCTGCGAAGGAGACTACAGTAAGCTGGTTGTAATCCTGTCGCTCCGCAGTTTTCCCCTTCAGGGCCTGGATCTTTCGGATCTTCGGATTGCTATGAACCACCTTTCTTCCTCTTTTCCTCTCTTACTCTTTTCTTGTATTCAGCAAGCTTTTTGCCAGCTGCGACACGCCTAGGGCCTTTATTTGGTCCTGTCTTATTTCTATCAGTTGAAGTCACTTGTTGAGCTGGTGCTTCTTTAGTCCTAGGTTCTTAATCATCCATTTTACTTGTTGATATAAAATTAAAGTTCTTATTCAAGTACTTATTTAAGTTCTTATGAAAGTTCTTATTCAAGTACTTGATAAGAACTTATGTATTCACTTTCTTCACAATTACTATCCGTTTCCTTATCATTGATCAAGGGTACTTCAACAATTTTTGCAATGAGAAGAGCAGCACTTGCAATTGCCATGTACCTTCCCTACTTTAGCATCAATCCATCAGCAATCATTCCAAGTTCTCTCTTTACCATGAAGTTATTATTCAAGTCCTTCAGAAGATTTCCTTCGCCAACAGGAAGAAAATGAGCCAATCCTTTACATGAGAGCTGAAGAAATGTATCAATTGAAGACAAGAAGCTTCATATATCTTTAAGTACTTCTCAAAATCTTTTTTAGCAAGCTTCATGACTTGATCCTGATTGAGAGATACACCAATCCTTTCCATTGTTTTACCACTTGCAACGAGAATAGCGAGTTGCTGATGATGTTCCACCACTATGCGGCCGGCCCCTTCGGGGCTTGAATCGCTTGCTGAACATCAGAATCAGCATCAAAACATCACTAAAAGCGTTTTTTTCCATGTCAATCATCTCCATTTTGTTTAAGAAATAGAATATTTTCAAGGAAGTTCGAAATCAATGCAATAAAGATGGCGAAGTGAGAAGATGAGATGTAAATACTTTTCACTCTAGCTTTGCCATCAATTCCTTCTGCTCATGTTCTTTCAACTCACTCTTCTAATCCGCGCAAATGATCTTCATAACTTTTGCAGATGGTGTGTACAAGAGAACTAATGCAGTAGTGTTCTCTCTGAGTGGTTTTGCAATGCTTGTCACCCGTTGCTTGAGGACTCAAACGCTGATTCCCTTATGTCTTGCGCTAAATGTCAAATCCATGAGTTCATTCCTCCTCTGCTTCACTCCTCTTGAAGCAGCACAATCATCAAGAATCATCATTGTATTTGTTCCCTCATACACATAACTGATAATCTTGAGCCAATCATTAATCTGACCTTGGAGTGAGGTCAAGATAAGTAGGCCCCCTTCATTTTCTGTGAAGCCATCAAACGCCTTGTTGTGGATGAATGTTTGATAGAGGAGAACGATTTAATCAAACGTTCCTCGGAAAGTGGTACACATGAGATTGACCAGGTATCTTGTTTTTCCTGAGTTCGTTGGTGCGATTATTAATGCATTGAATGGAATGTTATCAGGATTCATATTTTTTATTGATTTAATTGACGAGCTCTTTGAGGCTTATCGAACTTAAGTTTTGTCTTCTTCATGAGTCGCTACCAAATCTTCATTGAATGTTGCGCAATGCTTGAAGTTTGGTTTTGCTGCAAGTTTCAATGCTTTCTTTCTGTCATTTTCCATGTTTTTTCCGAAGACAAATTGTTCATCAACTTGGAGAAATCTTTCTCGAAGTCATTCTTTGCATTT